GAGACGTGGAGAAAAAAGAAGGAATTAATTATTTTTTATTTTTTTTATTTGGTAAGTTTTCTACGGCGCTCACAACAGCATGCGATCATATGAGCGGTGGCATGTTAGTTAGCAATTTTGAATTTTGCCCGGGTGGCGGCCGAAGCCTACTCTTATCGATTTCAGACCACCAAGGGATCTTTAACGTGCGCAACTTGCACACGGAATTCATTGTTCACATCAAAAGTTAGATCATAACAAATTGAAAATAGATTACTTTATTTTTACTGTCTCCAGTTGGACCAACCTATGTTAATGTCTTGTCCTTTCAGGTTTTGGTTTGTTTGTTTGTTTGTCTGTTTGTTTGTTTGTTTGTTTGTTCGTTTGTTTGTTTGTTTGTTGGGAGGGGGGGAACAGATGTGGGTGGATGAATACATTAAATTTTTGTTAATATTTTACATCACAAATTATACAATTTAGGTCATTCTGAAATATTAAGTTACTATAACCTCTCTTTTGGGCCAACTGCTCTGCTATTATTTATTTGTGTATTTCTTTCTTCATTAATTAATTAATTAATTTATGTATTTCATTCATTCATTCATTCATTCATTCATTCATTCATTCATTCATTCATTCATTCATTCATTCGTTCATTCATTCATTCATTCATTCATTCATTCATTCATTTGCTAACTTTGTCTAGCCACCAGTCATATCATACGGTCCACGATACAATTCACTTTCCATTGTTACTATCATTACCATCATCATTGCCAATACCATTACCATGATCATGGTTATTATTACTATCCTTTTATCATTATTATTACTAATTATTATTATCATCATTGTTTTCATTATTGTCACTGGCTGTTGTCGAGGAACGAAAATCCTTTCCTTTGGGAGCAGTGTAATATAAAGAGTGAGAAGTGCTACCAACTACAGACACAACTTGCCCTCCATAGGTTTACTATCTCTTTACACCTGACGTTTTATGTTCTATTCGTATGTCTTCTCTGGGGATTTCCTTTCCTATGTACAGACGTTGGCACAGGTTACAAAAGGTCAGACCTTTTATAAAAATCCTTCTGTTTTCAAAACGACTAAGCTGTGACGAGAAAAATTGTCATACACTTGTTGGCTAAAGGATGGATTTTATTTTATCAGTGTCCTGCTAGCCGTCCAAAATTGGCCTCCCTAACAACCACATTCTACTCAATAAATACTTCTCTAAGTCTCCTGCGTTACTCACAGAGCCCAGTTCTGACTGGTTTCTCCTGACTCATGCAACAGCCGATATCCCCAAGTGACAGCCAGGACGAGATAATAAAGGCTAATACAAATGGAACGGGAAGGGGCTTATGAATACAATCTAAATAATTGGTGTACCTTCAGTTAGTCAGATCGTGGTACTTCTAGTATGTAGTGCTGTAATTGTTGTAAATGTGCCATAAAACTGTGGCTCAATTCGTATTATCATTTACGAGGCAAGTTCCTATAACCATACGAGAGGATGATACATTCCCGCAGAGTGTGTGTGTGTGTGTGTGTGTGTGTGTGTGTGTGTGTGTGTGTGTGTGTGG